CACTATGGGACAACTTAGCACGGCCAATCCACCCTAACCTGCACATCTTTGGACTGTGAGAGGAAACCCACACAGACTCGGGGAGAATGTGCAATATCCGTGCAGAGAGTGAGTGGAATCAAACCCGGGTCCCTGGTGCTGTGAGGCAGCAGCGCTAACCCCTGAGCCACCCCGAACCCTGGGCGTTGGTGCCCTCATGCACAAAACACACAGTCCGCATGGTCAAGAAGGTTAATGGGGGCAGTATACTTTTTCACAAGAGAAACTGAACGGAAAAATAAGGACGCTTTCCTCCTGTGAAGGGTAGGGGTGAGACCACATCCTGAATACTGTGCTCAGTATTGGTGTCCTTACTTAAGGAAGGAGGGGAGTATGTTGGACAGCTGTTCAGAGGGAGTTTACTCAATTAGCACCAGGATTGAGTGGGTTATCCCGTGGGGAAAGGTCGCACAGACTCCTGGAGATTAGAAGAGAGAGGGGGCTGCTTGATTGAAGTGGGTACAGTCTGGAGATGGAAAGCACAGGAAGGATGTTTCCTCCTGAGGGTCAAACAGAACGAGGAAGTGATGTTATAAAAGGACAGGGATGAGGAGAATTTTTATTCTTAGTGAGTCTTTGGCCCCAGAAGGTGGTAGAGGTGGGGTGGGGTCTCATTAAATATTTAGAAGGTGGACGGATTCGGAATAAAAGCTGAAAGAGCTGCGGATGCCGGAAATTGAAGTTGCTGGAGAAGCTCAGCAGGTCTGGCAGCATCTGTGGAGAGAAATCAGAGCCAACATGACCTTTCCTCAGAACTGGATAGATTCTTGTCGGCTTGCGACTTTTTGAATTTGGTTTGATATAGTGTTGTCACATGTATTAGGTACAGGGCAAAAGTCTGTCTTGTGAGCAGTACATTACCAGACAAAGATCATTGGATGATAGAACAGAGCGAGGAATACAAAGTAGACAGGAGCTGCATTGTCAGTGTGTGGGGTTTGCACATTCTCCCCGTGTCTGCGTGGGGTTTCCTCCGGGTGCTTAGGTTTCCTCCCACAGCCCAAAGATGTGCAGGTTAGGGTGGATTGGCCGTGGGAAATTGTCCCGTAGTGTCCAGGGATGTGCAGGTTAGGGTGGATTGGCCGTGCTAAATTGTCCCGTAGTGCCCAGGGATGTACAGGTTAGGGTGGATTGGCCGCACTAAATTGTCCCATAGTGCCCAGGGATGTGCAGGTTAGGGTGGATTGGCCAAGGGGAAATGCAGGGTTACAGGGATAGGGTAGGTGGGTGCGGTCTAGGTAGAACACTGTTTGGTTGGTTGGCGTGGATCGATGGGCCGAATGGCCTGCATCCTCACTGTTGGGATTGTATGAAACCGATAAAATGTTTGGGCAAATTCCTTTTGCACAGAAACAATGACATGGTCCTGTGTGCTAATGTGAGCAGCTTCTACCAACCAAATGCCCTACAGGTCTGACATAATCCCTCCCATTGGTCTGCAGTGAAATCCTTAGCCCAGACCAGATTATTCCATCAGAGGCTCATCATTGTGTGACGCTCTGAGGATGACCGTTTTGCTGAGTGTGTTGGGCAGTGAGTGGGGTGAATGGGAGCGGGTCCCCTCTGCCTGCCTTATCCAGACCCATTTACAGTCATGTCCATCTCGATCAGACCCACTTCACCAACACCCCCAACCCTGGTGTCTGTCGCTTCAAGGAGAACTACACCAGCTCCTCAGATGTGATGTGGTCTCCAAAGGCCCTCAGCCCTGGTCAATCTCCTTCCCTCCCTTCCCAACTCCAACCTCTCCAAGATGTGATGGCTCTGATGGGACTCAGTCCCCTAGTTATGATCTATCACTGAAGACCAATCCAGGGTCATTGAGTCAGGAAACAGACCCTTCGGCCCAACATGTCCATGCTGACCCAGATATCCTAAATCAATCCAGTCCCATTTGCCAGCATTTGGCCCATATCCCTCTGAACCCTTCCTATCCATGTACCCGTCCAGATGCTTTTTAAATGTTGTAATTGTACCAGCCCCCACCACTTCCTCTGGCAGCTCGTTCCATACACACACCACCCTCTGTGTGAAAAAGTTGCCCCTTAGGTCCCTTTTAAATCTTTCCCCTCTCACCTTAAACTTATGCCCCTCTACTTTTGGACTCCCCCGCCCTGGGGAAGAGACCTTGTCTATTCACCCTATCCATGCCCCTCATGATTTTATAAACCTCTATAAGGTCACCCCTCAGCCTCTGACATTCCTGGGAAAATAGCCCCAGACCATTCAGCCTCTCCCTGTAGCTCAAACCCTCCAACATCCTTGTAAATCTTTTCTGAATCCTTTCAAGTTTCACAACATCCTTCCTATAGCAGGGAGACCAGAATTGAACACAGTTTTCCAAAAGTGGCCCTAACCAATGTCCTGTACAGCCACAACATGACCCTCCCAACCCCTATACTCAACGCACTGACCAATAAAGGCAAGCGTACCATACACCTTCTTCACCGCCCTGTCTAGCTGGTATGGAGGATCAGTTATAAGGGAAGGATTGATCGATGGAATGCAGAGATAGGCTTGTTGGGAAAGGTAGGGAGAGATTCTCCTTTCAGATGTTCAGGATGTGATTAATCAACCCTGTGTCACTCACTTCAGTTATAGATTGTTGAGCATCTGACACAGATTAGCAGCAATCTGTGATCTGCTTCGCACACTCTCATAAAGCCTGGCCCAGCGCCCGAAGAGCAAAGTCTGTTTGCATAGCTGAGAGGGGAAGGACAGCCTGAAACCCAACACAACGCACACAAACAGACAAAGAGAGAGAGAGACTTTCACTGAAATCACATTTTCTCATTCCTGAATGGTGTTGTGAAACCCTGGGCCGCAACTGAAGGAAATGAAGCCTGTGGACTAGGCCCCAAATCCAAACTCTTCCCACTCCCACTCCGAACCACCCCAAAGTCCCACCTTAACAGTCACTGGGGTCCATTGGGAATGTGGGCAGTGGGAGCGAACGGGAAGGGGTTTG